CACTCTCGGATGACACTTTTCCGGGATGACACTTACTAGGAACACATCCGAAGCGAGAGGCATGTTTCCGAGCTGCCAACTCGACTTCGCTTTCCCTGCCCGTATCGTCTGTTTCTGATTTCCTTGAACTGGTGACTGCCCCGCCCCCCTGACGAGCTGTCCCCGCTAGAAGCAGGAACATGCTTGGTTTCTTCAAGGAATGAGGTCTTGCCAATAGCTGGCATCCTTTGGAGAAGCAACATGCGCGATGACGTCATTTATCATAACGGCTTTCTTGCCAGCTTGGCGCAGAAAAGCAGGTTATGATGTCAGCCGGAGTGTTGTTCACGCCTATGCCGTCCTTGTTCTCTCTGATAAAACAAAAGAACCACCACAAGTTCGAGAAAATGGCTTTAGGCTCGCGCCGGGCGACGAATCGCCACACAGGTCCGAGCCGAGAGCATTCCTCTGCCACAGGTTATGGAGGTTATGCCACACCCACGTAGCTGACTCGGACCGTCGATGCTTCTTGTGAAACTTACCGCACCACACTCTTCCAAAGGTATGCCGTTTCCATCGGCAATCCCTCGCCACGTGCGAATGCTTGTGTTCAATCACGCGGCACGAGAGGAGGTTGTGTCTGTCACTCAATAGGTTGTGCTTTGCGCGCAACCCGCAGGTTTGAAAGTTGGATTGGGAGCTCTGGGATGATGGTCCTCAAACCAATGGCTAGAAACAAGTGCTGCCGAAACCGATTCTTTCTTTGGCTAGCAGTACAGGTAGCCAAGCCTGGCACCGCTCGCGGCTCTGGTTAGACTTCAACCACTCACGTCCTATCCCAGGGATTTCCTTCTTCTGGTGCTTGCATGTTCTTGCAAGGATCGCGCCGATACTTCCTGCGGCGAGTTGTTTTAGTAAGACACATTTCTGCCGCATTTGCGACACGCGTCGCGGTCTTCCTTTGGCGCCGTCGATCATTCCACGGCGATAGCTCAGATACATCAGGCGACCATGGGCCGGCCCATTAAATACGTCAAATATAGTAACATCAAGAACTCTATAACGGGGATTGACTCCCTACAGAAGCCCGCCTTGTAGGAGCTTCTTTCAGATTCAAACCGAGAGCCCGAGCCGGCGTGATTCCAGAAGTGATTTTCGCCCTTTCAGTCATCGAAGTCGATTACATTGTACTAGTAGTGATTCCGAATTGGAGGTGTAGGAAGAAAGACCTGCTACGGTTTATCTCTTGCGTGCTGTTGGATCGAAAACAGAAACCATGAGGTCTAGCGTGACGTCTCTATCGTCTAGTCTGCGATCCAGGAAGGGGGTGATTTTCAGGACTGGTGGTGGTGGTAGTGATTCCAAAAGGACTCCTCGGAGGAACGGGCGTGCGACTGGAGAACTTTGGAAACCGGAGGTACAGTAAACTTAGTTAACCTTATATGTTTCTGATAAATTACCACTTGTCAAAACCGTTTTCATTTTTTTTTCTCTTGGTTTCTTTTTCTTTTTGTTCGTTCCGAAGTCTGATCTGGGATTTGAGTTCTGAAACCTCAGAGCAAGTTGTTCTGGTGTTTGTCATGGCTCCTTCCATTGTCCGGTGTGTGCAGGAGGACAAGGTTTTATTGGCCCACGTGGCACGGTATGGCTCAAACAAGTGGAGACTGATCAAATCCATGGGTCTTCTGCCCACACGAAATCACAAGGCGTGTTGTAATCGCTTCATTGTACTTAAAAGGTATTTGGGTTTCCATTGTACAGTAATGTCAATTCTTGAGGTATTCTGGGTTGTCATATGCGCTTATGTCAATTCCTGCCAGGAATGCATTGAGTCTTCATTCCGCGTGGCAATGCAGTACCACGCTGGAGTTAATCTCGATGGTAGGCAACAGTATCACCTGGTCAAAGGGCGCCCTATCTCACTCTCATGCTACTATCTCTCGGTAATGCATGCAGGAAGCTGTCGAAGCTGCACCAGATCACACGAGATATGTACGAGTCAGGAAAGTGCGCTCGCGACGAAGGCGACGAAGATAAAGGCACCCCAGTGAATGATCCTCCATGTCTGTGTCAATGCGTGCAGGAAGCTGTCGAAGCTGCACCAGCTCACACGAGGCATGGACGAGGCTGCACAGGCTGTGATGCCGATGGCAACGGCAATGGAGACGGCAATGGAGACGGCGATGGGGATGGCGACAACAATGCAGCAGTCATCTGGAGCAAGAGCTCATGGTTCTCCTAGCGCCTCTTCCGTTCAAGAGCAGCAGCACCACTCGAGTCAGCCGCACATGTTGTGTCAGCAACCGCACGTGCAGTGTCAGCAGCAGTACAAACAGAGTCAGCAGCGCACGTCTAGCCATCAGCTATGCACTCCAGCTGCGATGGACATGGCTGAGAGCATGGTCACAATGATGATGTCGATGCCTCAGAGCTATTTTGAGTCGGCTCAAGAGACATTGAGCCCTCAACAGTGCACTCCAGCGAGGGACATGGCTGAGAGAATTATCCCAATGATGATTATGCAGAGCTCAGCAGCAGTAGACGCCGAGGAGAACTCATGCAGAAGATTTGATGAGGAGCTGCTTGAATCTGCTATAACGGATGCTGAGATTGGAGACCCTATACTGGTAAAGAGCCAGGCCGAAATGGAGGATGAAGCGACAGATGCAGCAAGAGAAGAAGCGACAGATGAATTCATGGCGGGACTCATCACTGACTCCAGCCCAGCAGCCATGCCTGCTCCGCCCCTGTGCTCGCCTGGGCACGTATCATCATGCCTTCCAACGTCGCAAGAGAGCCTTTCAGCATCACAGCAGAGCCCTGTGCAGGGGAGCAAGGCAATCGGAAGCTCACCCTTGATGGACTCGCCCATGCAGGAGCTGTATCCGTTTGAAGCCGCCCCGTTGGGGAAACTGACTCAGCGGACGCCTCAGCAGATGCATCAGCAGATACCTCAGCAGGAAGCCGTTTTTTGTGGAGTCAATGTCGTCAGAAGTCTGCAAGCCGAAGTGGATCCGATGCCACCTGTCTGTGCGGCCCCTGCCGGCATCCGTCACAGCTTTTCGGATCGGGATGCTGCTGCTGCTGCTAATGATGATGCTCTTCTTTCCACCTTCGCTGGTTCGCGTTCTGCAGACACTGCATTTCCTGGTGTGGTGTACCCTTGGTATCCTGAACCGTGCTATGCTGATGTGGCATCAAGTGGCGGTTCCGATTCCGATTGGCTTGCTGCTGCTGACAACGCGATTGCGTCGTTTCTTATCGAGGCTGCGCTGCTGAAAATCAGCACCGCTCTGCTGCAGCCAGAGTCAACACTGCACTTCGCTCCTATGCCTCCCTCCTCTCTACCAGTTAATCAGGAGGAGGGGTCCCTGAAGCCCTCAGTAACAGTTAACCAGGAGCAGGGGTCCATGGAACCTTCACTACAGTCAAGACTCCAAGGGAAGCCCATGCCAGTCTCCTTCCCTGCCCCTACTGCCACCGCACATCCAGCATTGCAATCAGCAACCCCCTCCCTGCTTCCACCACCCCCCCCTGGTACTGAATCAGCATACCCTCTGAATTTTTGCTTCCCTTCTGCCACTGCACAACCGGCATTGCAATCAGTTACTTCCTCCCTGCTTCCACCGCTGCCATCCTCTACTGTATCAGCAGGCCCTGTGCATGTTTCACTCCCTGCTGCCGCCTCAGAACCAGCACCACCATCTACTGTTCACAACCCTAGCCACTCTCTGATTCCACCACTAGCACCGTCTACTGTACTATCAACAGACCTCATGCAATTTTCCGTCCCTGCTGCCACTGCACAACCAGCATTGCCATCTACCGTTTGCAACCCAACGCCCTCTCTGCTTCCGCCGCTGCCACCATCTTCCGTACATCCTTGTGTTCCGCTTGCTGCTACGTTTGCCACTGCTGCTCCTGGCCGGCCTCTTGCTGCTGCCATGGAGCCATGGAGCAATGAGGCTGTCAGCTTGAGAGACCGGTTGAAGCCGGACGAGCTATTTGAAGCATGGTGCAGTGGATCGTTCTCCAGGGTGAGCTATGGTGCATGGCATGGCATGGTATGGCATGTCATGGCATGGCATGGGATGGGATGGCATGGTACGGTATGGTATGGTATGGCATGGCACGGTATGGTATGGCATGGCATGGCATGGCATGGCACGGCATGGTATGGTATGGAATGGTATGGTACGGTATGGCACAGTATACTTCACAGTGCGTCTGACCAGACGAGCTGTTTGAGGCATGGTGCAATGAGCCATTTTCCAGGTTGAGCCATGATGTACAGTATGGCATGGCATGGCATAAGATGGGATGGGATGGGATGTAGCATCCATTAGTATTTATAGGTTGATTCTGTGTGTGGTGATCGGTTTCACATGTGTATTGCTACATATTGTTACATGCTGCAACATTTTGCTTGATAGTACTTCATGGTGACATACCTGTTGTCTGTGCTGGCAGGTACTTCACGGCTACTGCTGAAGCCCCAACCATTTTGTACAGTTAAATGGTAGCTATTGATGCTTATGGCGTTTTCCTAACCCCCTGTCGGACTGTCGGACCCACCTCGTGCCTAACTCATGTGGTGAGAGGAGGAAGTGCTCGATCACGTGGTTCGGTTCAGCTCGGCTCGCCAAGCCAGATCTGAGGCTTCAGAATCACGCCTTTGGCTGTATCAGGGTCACTGTCATATGGTGTGCACCCTGACCCTAGTTGTGCAACAACAAAGGTTGGAGTTGAAGCTACTACATATTTAGTATGTACAATTTGAATAAGCTTAATCATGGCTCTTAACATAATCAATGTGATGACTTCTAATTTCCTGTCAAATTATATACTTATATAATTATTTTTTTAGGCTTGGTAGGTATGTTATCTTGCTGAATCCTACTCTAGAGGGTACAACTCCCTCCTTGTATCCCTCTCTTTTCTAATCTCATCCTCTTCTCTCTCGACATTTTCTCCTAGTCTAAAACCTCTCGCTACTTTCCTATGCCCAGCTCCTAACCTAGCTTCTCGACATGGTATCAGAGCAGGCCCTTCCGCTCGGGCCTTCTCCTCACGCTTCCGCAGCGTCCTCTCCTCCCTCCTGTCACGCCCGCACCGCCGTGGCAACCATGTCGTGCTGCCATGGTGGCTTCGTCGCGCTGCCGTGGCAGCCTCGACACAATTCCGTGGCTTCGACGCCACGCTGTGGCGGCGTCATCATGCTGCCGTGGCGGCGTCGCCGCGCCAGCGCACGGGTGCCAGCGGGCCGCGCTTCGTTTTAGGCGCCAGCCATGACGCCCGCACGCCAGCCAAACGCCAGCCACGGGCGCGTTGCTGGACCACACCCCCCTCCCCCCCTGCGTCTCCCCTTACTCCAGCCACAGCTGCTGACTCAATGCCCGGTCGTCGTCGGGTTGTGCCACGCCGCCGAGTGCCGCGAGCCTCGCTGTCGCCGCCACTGTCGCCGAAGCCATCGCCGCCGATGCAAGTGCAGCAGGCTCCGCCGCCACCAGCTCCGCCGCCGCCGCTGTCGTCGAAGCCGCCGCTGACGCCGTTGCTGCCACCCACTGAGGGGTGTCACCCCTTCGCACGAAGAGTAGAAGACACACCTGCTGCAGGACATTGGGGTGCCAAATGTTTGGGGTTGTTTCGTGTTGGGTGGGCTTTCGACTACCAAGCCTAGGGGGTGTGTCAAATTATATACTTATATAATGATTTGTTTAGGCTTGGTAGGTGTGCTACCTTGCTGAATCCTATTCTAGAGGGTACAACTCCCCCCCTGTATCCCTCTCTTCTAATCTCATCCTCTTCGCTCTTGACATTTCCTCCTAACCTAAACCCTCTCGCTATTTTCCTATGCCTTGCTCCTAACCTAGCTTCTCGACATTTCCACCATAGGCAGGTATTGGAGGAGCTTGGGCGGTAGACAATGATGATAAGGGAGTATCCCTACAAACCAGACCAGTATTGGAGCATATTCCTATGAAATAGCATTAACAATATTATGAAATTTATGCTGATTCTGATGCTACTTCGCGTAATTGAATGGCGGCGCGCATCCGCAAGGGATCAACACACTACTGTTTCGCGCATCGGGCTTTGATTGCTCAGCTTAAGAGTCACGCCAGCAAACATCCCATGAATGCATTGCATGACCTCCACATGGATGAGGAAAAATAATCAGCAACGAAAGAAAGTGCCAAATAAAATAACAAATGCGATGAAACAGAGGGCTATGGGCAGAATCGATAAGAGGGCTTGGAGCCTGGCCCTAAGAATTCAGGCCAAAAAGGTCCGAAAGCCTGTATATCAGGGTATTTTTTACAGCATACCCTATTTTTTCAGGTTTTGTTTTATATCAAACTTGAAATTTATGTGTTCCCTGTTTTAAGCCCTGAAAAACAGTTTTATTTGTTTCAGCGAGTCTGACAAATCAGCCTTAGTCGAAATTCGCCCTGAAACAGAATCCTTTTTGCTAGGGCGAGCTGGAGCAGGTGTGAGGGGCATGACTAGTCGACCAGAATCACACAAATTTAGTCCAAGGCGAGTTGGAGCACGTGTGAGGGGGGTGACAGGTCCTTTCGCCGCCTGCAAGACGACAATTAGTACCGAGCAGACAGCTAAACTGTTCCTCACGAACATCGTGCGGCTAAACGACATCCCATTGGCAATCATCTGCGATCGTGACCCACGGTTCACGTCGAACTTCTGGGCAAAAACCTGGGAGCAGTACGACACACGTCTGCATCTGTCTACGGCGTACCACCCGCAATCGGACGGTCAGACTAAGTGCACCAACCAGATTATGGAGCAACAGATTCGCACGACATATATAGACTCGTCCCACTAGGAAGACTCCCTTCCCTTGATCGAGTTTGCGTAAAACAATGCCCCATCGGCCACAACGACTCAGTCTCCGTTCTTCCTTAATTACGGGATAGATCCGACAACCCCTTTATCACCACCGATAAAAAATCCGGCACCAAGGTTTCAGCAGTTTGTCGAAAATCTCCGACAGTCTCAGCAAAAAGCCGCCGATGCCATCCTAAAAGCCAACCAGAGAGCTAAGCAGCAAGCTGACCAATGACGCCGAGACTTATCACTTGCCCCTGGGCAAATGGTCCTGCTCGACACCAGGAATTTGGGAATCCCCCTCCCAAATAAATTACGACCAAGATTTTGTGGACCCTTCTGCATCATTCGCATGGTGACACTAGTCACCGCCCAGCTGCAACTGCCGACCGACTGGCGAATTCACGATTCGTTTCACGCCAGTCTCCTGCGACTGTTCGTCCGAGTGCGACCAATCTCGATCGTCAACATACTAATCCTACGGTCAACCGAGTACCCGAGCCGACGATAGCACCGTCCAAGATCCTCGCTCATCGCGTACGGGGACATCGAGATACAGCAGCCGTCGATTTCCTTGTACGCTGGGTCGGTCGCACCAGTGACGACGATCTCTGGGTTCCCACAGCCACGCTCAGTGAAAATAGAGTTGTCCGAGACTGTTAACACCGACGACGCGTCCCGGATGTGGGTAGTCTCATCCTGGAAAGGGGGGTTGGTGTAAGGAATTTCTCTGTTCCTTACTGGGTTCGACCACAGCGCGAACAGGTTGGGGAGGTTCGCCGACCGTAACACTCCAGTTTACCGTTACATTCCGTAAAGTTGTATTCCCCGGGTATAATCAATGGCCTTACTGTCCAAAACAGTCGTAACAGTAGCGGAACCTTCCAAAAAAAAACACATGCAACAAACACAACAACAAATGCAAGCCTTGAGAGCACATCTAGGACACTCAACACCGTGCGGAACAAAAACACAAGCCTACAAAAATCAATGTGCACGTTTCCCCTACAATCCGTTTTGCCATGGGTTACCAGCACAATCGATACTCTCCGACGCGGCTCGGTCATTGTTCCGGAGTGTTCCGTAGAATAGGTGTAGTCCCCAGAAGTGGCTGAAGCCTTAAAACCCGAGTCTAGAATGGTAGGAAACCATGATTACTGAACATGAAAACAGTGCAAAAAAAACTGGGCGAAAGTAGTTTCGCCAGAGTTCCACTGACGAAAAAAAATTCTGGCGAAATCCAGAACCCTGATCGCATCACAGATTTTTTTCGGCAGCAGCCGAGTTCAACAGTGCGTGAACAAAGAGGGGGGAGGGCGGGGGGGGGGGGGGGGGGGGGGGGGGGAACAAACAGTGACGCGAGACCCCCACAAAAGTGCATTCAGAATGGTCGCAGGCAAAACTCCAGAATACTGAGATGAACAGTAACTAGGAGTTTGTCTTATTGAGCGGAAGTTGCAAGCTCCCCCCCGTTCCCTGAGAGTTGCGACGTTTTCCCGGTATATACCACGTTACCCTTTATTCGATGAAAACAAGCTCAGGATTCCTGAACTTGAAGCAAACCATTCTAGATTCGGGTTTTAACTTGAATAGTTCTTGAAGTCCAGTACAGTATTTGCAGAATAGTTCGTCGGGAACTGCTCTCAAGTGAAGGGTAAGCGTAGAAGACTACCCGAACTTCTGGGTGGCCTGGTTGTATTCCCTTCTGATGCCGTATTCTTCCAGTTTCGAACTGTAGGGCCGAAATGCTGGCAGCGCGGACAAGAATTCCTAGCCAGTGGTGTGCGTTCTCTGCTCCAGCTAGGTGCCAGCGCACAGCTGTAATATCTCCTATCCCCGCATTTTCTCCGGGGGTGCCACTTCGAGAGTAGTTACCTTCAAAAGGCATGACCTAAGAAGCGGGTTCAGAATCCCCTGCAAAACGATCAGACTTGGGTTTCTAGACCAGCGATGTATTTCCCAGATTTGGTGCTGTATCTTTCCGAAGTCCAGCACCTCGTAAAAACAAGTGGAGGCGGAGAGGCAAAGGGCCCGAGCCTGTATATGATACACGGGTATGATATCTGCGGACCAAGAAACAGCCAGGGTGACGACGAAATTTCCACGACCTCTGTTCCCCACGGTGAAAATGTCGCACGTGTAATACTGTACATTATGACCAACATTTAAGTTCTGGTGTCTCATAACTCTACGGAGCAGTTGCTCTTATTACATTGAAAACCGGCTTGTAATCTTAGAAGACCGGCGCGAAAAAAATCAACTCAGCACGAGGCGAGTACGTTTAGCCTGCTGTGGAGAACCGAGCCCTTCTGACCTTACAGTTCGTGCTAAACCGAGCTGAAGTTCTCATTTTTCTGGCGCCTTAGGCGTAGTGCGGAGGATCTGGATTCAGACCACAAAAGACCCACCTGCTATTGCCACGAGTGGGCAGCAGTGAATTGGGAATCTGACGAGAGGATAGATTGAAAATGGATAGATTGGCTTGCCAACAAGCCGCAGTCGCCGAACCAAGTGTGCCAGGTTTCCTCGCACATGTTTCGCAGCAATTGCGTAACTTAAGTACACCTCTTCAAAGTAACAGTACATGTCCCTGACCAAGCTGCGGCAGATTGTACCGGGTTTAGCTACAGCGCCTGGCAAAACTGATTATATCGTGGAAGAGTACGTAAACTCTGGATGTACATGAGTAAATGCGGCTGCCCACGAATGTCATTTGTGAAAGAAACCACGAAACCTCATGCATTTTGCCAAAGATAAACAAGTTGACTCGTACATTTGTGTGTGACCATGCCAGATAAAATAAAATAACATAGTGACCAAAACGTCGAATAGAGAACGCGAGGGTTACGGGTGTCGAGCAAGTCCTTCAACTTGGCCAGTTCAGTCCCCGTGGCACGCGCGAAACCGATGAGTACATCCGTCACAAAGCGCGCAATCCGACGATCGATGCGTTTCTAGCTATACATCTCCACGTAGATGGGACGCGCCTCGTTAGGTCCTGCGTGCGGCTACTCAAACGATAGAGGGTCTACGCCCTCGGTGTTGCATGTAGGATGGAGCTCGTCGAAGGCGACGAACTCCTACGCCGTCATCGCCTGCTCGCCGAATTGAAGACGCTCGATGTCGCCACCTACGAGCGCAAGTACCTCGGTGGCGTCTATCGGGTTCGAAGTCGTGTACGTTCCGTGGGGAAGCATCGTGCGTTGCGACGCTGACAGAATCCCGGCGCACCACCACCACCACAACACAGTGTCCGGATCCACACTGACCTACGAATCCGCCAGCCTTTGCATGACCTCGGACGCCTTTGGCTTCAGGCGAAGAGTGGTAGCGATGCTGCCGAGCGACTTCCATAGCTCAAGTAATGCCTCCAGCTAGTCAAACCTGTACTTTGCCTTAACGCATGCGATGACGCATTGGTTCAGCGGCTGGATATGCAAAGTGGTATGCGGCGGCAGATAGACGAGATGGACATTGCTCAGTTTTTTTCGTACGGAATCCAAATAAGTCATCCGTTACGGCGCTCGGAGTAAGCAGGTGGTGGCTGGACGCACTGTCCAGCAAGATAACAATGTGTCTTCCCTCAGCAAATGCTCATTTATTGACCGACTTGACGAAGTTGGTGAATCTCTGTGTTTCGAGTGGGTAGGGTGAAACCGGCGTGCATAGGTGATACATTAGTATACGAGTGCACCTCGGGGGGGGGGGGGGGGGGGGGGGGGGGAGGGGGGGGGAGGGGGGTGTTCGGTTTGGGAGCAAGTCCAGAATGACTTACCTCGTTGGTCAATCACGCATTACAGTTGTACCGCCACTAGCAGTATTGGTCTGGATTGAATCTAGTCGCAGCGAAATCCCTTGGCCGCCGCACTCGCAAAATCATGATGGGTTTGTATGTGTGGCCCCCATCAGTGTTATATATAAAAGCCATCGTGTACCTGTCCTTGCAGCTCTTGATACCCTCGAGACTCTCCTCCGCCCACGTCTTACGAGGCTGAGCCGCGATGAAGAAGGATGTTTCATCGAAACTATAGAGGTCCCTCGGTGTAACGCCGAGGTGTTCGATGAGATGGGGCAGCATATTACGAGTATGCTCAACGACTGCCTTATCCGCGTCCGCTGCCTCGCCCTTCAGAATTAGGGATCCGAATCCCATCCTACGTTGAGCCATGTGGATCCAGCTGATAGACACACGAAAATTAGCTCCAATGCCCAGCTCATACGCTAGGTGTCTAGCTTTGTGCTAGATCAGGACAAGGTTGAGGGGAACGCTAGCAGGAGCAGCAGTGCGAATCCAACTCCTAAGACGAGACACTAACTCGGGGTAATGGCCGTCGTGCTGCCGAAACCTCTCGCTTGTATCATTGCCGACTAGGCGCCACTTGTGACGGTCCTTCCAAATTTTGGCAATAGTGCTTGGGTTAGGCTTCATGCTGTATTTGGTGAAGCACCAGAGGCTGAGATCCCTGAGCGTAAGCTGAGGATTGTCCTGTGCGTACTTGCAGATTTCACGCTTTATGGTGAATGTCTGTTGAGCGTATCGGCAGAGCTTAGCCATGACAGACAGGCATAGTCAGAGTGTTTAGCCGAAGAAGTTTGACGGTGTGAGATCCAGAGGGGGTAGTGTGATTTGTTTACATTTTTATGTGTGTAAATACGACTTTACATTGATTACTGGTTGCAAATGGCCAGGGAAATTTTGGTCACTGGTTCCAAATTCTGGTGAGGTTTACATTTGACGACGTGTTACAAGCTCATTGATTGTTACTGTCTGTGGGGAAAGATGTAGCGTACGAGCCTAATAATGCTTTCGCAATAGGATTGTTTTCGCGAATTCTACCTTCGTACAGCCGTTGAGTTCATGTTTTCTGAATCTTTCAGAGCTATGTGATTAGTCAGTTAGCTGGTTGGCTGCAGATTGCACAAATCTTCTTAAAAGGTTCTATTACTGTGCACAGTGTTATGGATCCTATCGTCATTGGTATCCCCAAGGGTTTCGGGTAACTTGGAACGTAACAGTAACTTGGAGTGTTCCGCTCTAGATTGTTCCGAGGAAGAGGTGTAGAGACTTCAGTTCGATCAGTGTACAGTAGTGTAGTAAATTCTCGTTCGATCATCCAGTCGAAATTTTCCACAATCTTGACTTTTTCTAGAAGGCGAGTTCTCAGTCCCAAGAAATAGAGCGAGCTTGGGTTTCCTGCATTTTTTGTTTCTCAACTGATGTTCTCAATGCCTGAGCTACAGAATGAAGGGTCTTCATGTCGCAGAACCACGGGAACTTTTGTACTGTACCACCAGGACTGCGGGCTCGAGCCCTCCGAAACCAGAAAAAAACGGTTTCCGTGGATCTGAAACGGTCAGGGTGGCGAAACAAACTGAATGTCGCCTGATCTTTTCGAAGCTTCTGGACGAATCGGATACCGATACACATGATCCCTCTTACAGCCATCCGAGCTACTCGCACAATCCTGATAAAGACAATAATGTATTATTGCACCGCAATAATTTCCCTTACACCGCAATGTTTAAGAGCACAGACACTGTGTAACGGGAAACGCTCCCCAAGGCTTTACTGTTCAAGATATCCTTGAGATTCGGAATTATTGAATGGGAGGCGTCGAGCGGATCAGACTAGTGACTGTTTTTAGCCTAACGAAAAATCTGAAAGTTTTTTCGCCAGCCATTGTCTTGACATTACGCCACATCAATAACGAATGTTATAGTATGGAAGGTTCTGGAGGTTTATAGTGAGTTAATCCCAAGACACGTCATGTCGGATGAAAGAGCTTTACAAACCAATGGGCGACAGCTCATCAGTTTTGGAACTGGCTCCGTTTCAGGTGCGAGAGTCTTGCAACCCTAGCGATGGGGCAGGTTACCGGACAATTTGGCAGAACAGACGCGCTACTCCGACCCAATTTTATTGCAAATTTTCGGGCGTTGCCGCCCGAGAAGTGTACAGGCACATTTTGCCCGGCGTTTTGGCCGGAGATACATGCACGGACCGCGCAAATCTTTCGAGTGTCTGAATAGTAGAACATGTGTACACCTCTTCACACGAACACTGACACCCTTCTCCCCGAGCAGACCATCACGGATTTTTGCGGCGTGAACATCCTATTCAGGACTGAAGCTCGGTTGTCTGGTCTGGAATTTTTGGGCCCTCGCGATACACTTGATTTGTACCCCTAATAGGTTTTGGGGGGCTGTATCGGAAACGCTGAAGCTCTTCGCATCAACTCGTCACCAGCAATAATTGGCAGTGAGCGAAACACTTCGTCTAGTTACTCACTTGGTCACGAGATTTTTGTGTGTCTTCGCCTGCACGTTCGATGCTACCGATATCAAAACATGCTGCAGCGCGGACCACATGGGACTGTCCTTTGAAGAAACGGAAGTGCTGTTGCCCGTGATGTAGAGCTCTTGGGATGAGGCTTCCGATTGAGACGGTTTTTGGGCCCAGTGCCTTGCGGGCATTGGGTGTACAACTGGGGTTGGAGTGGTGTTTGTGCTCCTGCGGCAGGATTTTCTCCGTGGCAAACAAGGCGGATTATTAATTGCTGCATTGGAATCTACCTTCCACACACCAACAAGACCCTAGTTGCCCGTCAGCAACTGTTTGCCCGTTGCTGAAACGCAGTCTCCAGGGAGCTTCCTTGGCATCGTCATCGATTTTCCACGCGAAGCCAAATACCTCAAGATAGCCCGTCCATGATTAGGTGTGGGTTGTGCAAACTACTCTGGCAAAAATGGAATTCCGCAGAAGTCTGTCTGGAAGAAGCTGTTTGATTCGAACCCAAGATTCCGAGCCTGGTTCTACTCTATTCCCCCAGTGACTGCAGCGCTGTTTGAATTCGAAAGCAGGGTTCTGCTCTATCGCCTTCACTGAGCATTTTCCGACGGCAATATTGGAAGGAATTACTAGTAATTTTCCCAGTTCCCACCGACAGCCCGAGTCGACCATCAGCGGACTACTACTAGGTCCAAGTAGTACTTTTACTTACTTACCACTACTAGTGGTTAATGCGGTGGCGGCTCATCTTGTGGTCGCTCGAAATATTTGGAACAATTCAGGTTTAACGCGGCAATGTCAAGAACGAAGACGTCCGCCGCTAAGGAGAGGAGCAGGCGAGTGGCTGGAGCACTCTGGAAGCCGGAGGTACAGTACAACCGGAGGTACAGTATAGCCTTCTCAGAACTCTGAGGTGCATTGTGAAGTAATGTCCGACATAGAAAGACTGATTTCCCTCCTTCTGCGTTCATCCCAAAATTTGGAAAACAGCAAATTTTCCACGCGACAACCTTTTCGGTAAACAATACCCTGCCACAGAGTCGGTAGGCACTTGAAACACCGTAAGTACTCCCTCTGCAAGGCGAGGGAGTACCAAGAATGTATTTGCGAGCGAAGTAGGCCAGGTGCATATACCCACACCCTCGTGACAACCTTGTTGCATCCTCGAGATAGGCTCGCCACCATGTGTCACCACCGTTGCGTCGGACGCTGTGGGCACGACGCAGCCTGAATATAAACAAGGAGCGGAACAGTGCACAAGCGACAACCAACAAGCCCGCGCCGCTGCGGGCCGAATGTACAAGGATTGGGGCAGGAGTGTGGCGTCAAAATCACGCCACGACCTCCTCTGGCCACGAATCATACATCATCCAATCACAAAACTCTTTACTGTATAACAAATTCGACCCAGGCGCAAACGACCCATGATGCCATGATGTTGCATGTACACCTGATGTTATGAATAATACCTGAGAGTGCGCGGAATAATACTGACTAGTACAAGAATGTGAACCTAACATTATATAGCGAGGAATCTAACTAGGCGACGAGCCCGGATGGCTTGGTTGGGTAAAGGCGCGGTCGAAAGGGTCGGATGCGGCGCGGGCGTGCCTCGGGGTCACGTTGAAAACGGACCGAGCCTTGTCTTCCTGTCAACTTATACATATGCTGTACATAGAAGTCATAGGCTAGCATAGGCGTGTGCTTCTAGTAAGTACAACCCCAACAGGTACATGTTCTAGGTTTCTCACACTAGTCATTCATTCTCACTTTCTGACACTTCCGAGAGTTCGGGTGTACGCGATTGCAGTACAACCCGGTAAGGAATATGATTCATTACACTTGCCATTATGAAAACTGTTGGGCTGATAAAAAGCCCTTGGGATCTTTCCAGAGACTAAGTCCCACTTGTACAAGATGCTTGAGTAGTGCAGCGGAAGTGTTGAGTGATTGAACCCTTGCACTAGTAAGTGAGAGCAAGTGAAAGATTAAAAGAAACAAGCATACACCAATCTACAGAACAATAAGAGATGAACCCGTTTGTAGAATATAGTTGAAGGAACGGTTATCAAGTCGCACAGCGACTGTGGGTGAAAATTCATGGCGGACTTAGATTAGAACACTTGGCGAATGCTTTGACAACATTTCCCGAAACACTTTTTGGTTCACGACAGCGAATGCTTAGAGGTGTCTTTTCGGTAATCTCCGTGGTTCGTTTACAAATGCATGGCGGTGTTCTTTCTACAACTTCTGCAGTAAACATGTAAATGCATAGAGAAGTTTATGCTCACCATTTTTAGTATTCAGCATGATTTGTTGCAAACGTTTGGCGGTGTTTTTCATGGATCCGTTTTTGCAGGCTGCAGTACCCTTTTGGGCATGTTCAGTACAATTCGGGCATGCCTCATTTGGATTTACTTATAATGCAACAAGCAAATTATTTGATATATTAAAAAAAACATCTACACCACAGTACACAACCACTATGGCCCAACCGCCCTTGCCTACCAGCACCCCTATGTGGGTCCCGCACTAACACAAAGAGAAACTGAGCGGCAGCACACCAGGAGCAGCAATTCTTGAAACTGGATTGGAATTCCTGCACGTTACGTTCAGAACTTGTTATCTCGAAATTAATCCAAGGTCGAAATCACCAACAATAAGGACAATGCTTACAACAACGAAGTAGCGCGACGCTGGATATTGAGTCCTGCACATTAGGTTCAAACATTGTAATCAAATTAGTTATATTCCATACGACAGCAATTACAAAGCCAGCTTACCGGAGGAAATAGCTCGTGGTAGGCTACAAATTTCTGCACGTCATACGAGACATTGTTGTGAAATTAGTCCGACGATCAAATGACCAGCGAGACTTACAATTGGACTTACATGGGGAATTATCTCGATATTGGACAGAGTTACATAGCTAGCTGCGATAAAGACAAGCATCGAGGACACATGCGAATCATTAGTTTGATTGATACGTCAAGTAACAAATGCCTTCATACCCCCATGGCGTGCTGTGTGTGCCCGTATCGTGCGTGCATGGCGCCCTCCACCAGCAGCCCCGCCTGGAATCGCCCCGCCCACCACTCCGACGCCGGGCGACTACCCACCGCTGTCACGCCCGCACTGCTGGAGAGAGGAGGGGTGGCAGGGGCGGAAGCGGGAGGGTGGAGTGACGGTGTGCGCAAGAGTCGGGGAAGAGCGCACAAGACACAGAAGAACAGAATGGAGGCTGCTCCTCGTGGCAGCTGCACTCCTCGTGGCGGCTGCACTCCTCGTGGTGGCTGCACTCCTCGTGGCCGCCTCACCATGAGGGCCACGCGTGCACAGCACACTCACACGATCACACGTATCAACGTGCGAACGCCACACTCTCCCCCACACTTCCTTGCCCTTCATGCAGCAGGCCCTTCCCACTGCCCCCCACACTCGCACGTGCCTGCGAATGCCCTCTCATGGGCCTCTCTACTCCAGCAACCCATCCGTGGCACTGTATGACCCCCCCTCTCCGCCTGGCCATGACTGTTCACCTGTAGTCGAAGTAACGGTGCAGGGAGGCGAGGGAGGAGGAGAGATGGCGCGAGGAGAGAGACTCGTGGTGCTGCCACAGATGCACCTGATGCCATGCACCCACGCCATGCACCCATGTGATGCCATGCACCCATGTGCCATGCACCCATGTGATGCCATGCACCCATGTGATGCCATGCACCCATGTGATGCCATGCACCCATGTGCCATGCGCCCATGCCATGCCATGCAGCCATGTGATTCCATGCAACCATGCAGCCATGTGAAAGAAAGAGGTGAGTAAAGGCAAGGAGAGTGGTAGGTCGCATGGAGAGGCGTGGCGTGCAAGAGCCAAAAGGGGGTGGCATGGGCACGCAACAGGCAGAACAGAGGGCACACGGATGGGCTGCCAGGGATGGCTTCACACCGCCATGCATATAGCAAGGCACATGTATGCACCTTGGGTGGCAGGTCGTGCGCATACGCCATGGCGCTCACGTCGTCTGGCAGCGCACCACCCATGGCGCCAGCATGCCCCCCTTCACTGCTCCTCGGGCCTGCTGCTGCTGCGCCCAACCTGCAGCGCACACACGATGGACGGATGGATGGGGCATGCGCGTGAGAAGGGGAGTGCACGAGAGCGGATGCTCTCCATTCCGCTCTGCCCCCTCCACCTTCCCACACACACTACTAGCCATGCCTCTCTGCACGAGTCGCGCCGCACCGCTGCTGCGCCAAGCACACACATGGCAAGCACACACATGGCAAGCACAGCTCCAGGGGCGAGGGGGAGTGAGAGCAGCTGGGACGAGCGAAAAGGGAGAGAGGGCACGAAAGGGGGATCGAGACGGGCATAGACGGAACGAGTACAGGAGAGAGGAAAAGGACAGTGGAGAGAAGCGAAACAAGGGAAGAGGTGTTTCACCACCGTGCTCGCATCTGCTGGCGTCCGCGCACCTGGTGGCCGCCTCCATGCGCGCATCTAGGTACTCCGCCAGGCGCCCCGCCTCCCGAAGATACCGCTTCTGCGTGCCGCCTCCTCCCCCTCACCCCTCCTTACTCTCCCGCCCCCCAATGGCGCATTAGCTCATGAACATGCAGATAAGAATGACATGGGTGAACAGACTAGTCACCTACGAGCTGCTTGAAATGATAGACCATCGTGAAACGAGATCCTCAGCATAGGGCACACTAAGAACGACCGTGGTAATCGAAGCCTGTGGGAGAGGAAGGAGCTGCTCACTAGGGGGCGCGAGGCGAGAATGGGAGCTGAAACTGATGCAGATAGAACTGCCGAGGGCTATTATTGTAAGTAACGTCTAGCTGGAAGGCATGAGAGGGCGCAAGGGGGCAAGAAGTGTGTGGTGGGCTGGAGTGCTGGCATGTGGGGTGCAGCGTGGTGGGCTGGGTGGTTGGGGCGAGCAGGTGGTTGAGCTGGATTAGCCGCTCTGGAACCACTTGGCAGATTTTGATTGGTTGGACGAGGTGCAGGGGCTGAGTTGGATGAATAAATTTTGTTGGGTTCGGTTGCAGGTTTGGTAGGGGGCAAAGGGTGTGTGATTGGTCAGCACGTCATTTTGTCAATAGGGGCGTGTTTCTACAGACCCAATATCAACAAATAGGACATGAAATTTTGGATCCCAGAATCCGCGTGCTCTATAGCACGCTGTAATTTGCGATTCAATTCGGTTCAGTTTGGTATTCACAAATTTCATAAAGCCGTGTTTTGCACCGATTCCGTTGGACTACGCCCTTCTTGGTGGTTGGATGGAGGTGTTGTAGCCAACACTTGTTACTATATATGCTAAGACGTTTTCGATATATTTCAGTGTGTGTCTTGGATTTGTTTAGTAGATTAAATCGCTTTCCATGGGAACTTGACTTTCTGAATGTATCTAGACTAATATGACTTTATGCTAAAGATAAAAAGCTACTCTTGTTGCCAAAATTGGTGCCAAGTTCATGTACTCTTACAGAACGACCGACAAGCCGTTCATAACCTGAAAAGGTCGCATATATATGTGGCAGGAAGAATGTTACAAACTTGAGGGAGAGAAATTGCGACCTCAAAATTCAAGTTGGCTTTACAACCCTGGACCAACTCAGTTACAAGGTGTCGTTCACATATGTAGGGTTACATAATTTTCATTTTCTGCAGCCGTCGTAGATGATGCTAGAGAAGAGACATGGTTAGCATTTGCCAATAACGGCTGAATGTCTGAATGCGTGGCCGCACGGAGATCACCCACAGAATGTGGTTTGTTGAGAGATGCACAGGGGAGTGAGTGGATAGGTTTGGGGTGAAGTCTGGCTTTTAACGGAGAGGTTGTCCAAGGTGAGTGGATAGGTTTGGGGTGAAGTCTGGCTTTTAACGCATGGGAAAGCAGGGTGCGGGGAGCAAGGGAATGCGGGGAACACGGGAATGCGGGGAGCATGGGAATGCGGGATGCGAGGAGCAAGGAAATGCGGGGAGCATGGGAATGCGGGATGTGGGGAGCAAGGAAATGCGGGGAGCAAGGGAATGCAGAGAGCATGGGAAAGCGGGATGCGGGGAGCAAGCAAGGGAATGCGGGGAACATGGGAATGCGGGGAGGATGGGAAAGCGGGGTGCGGGGAGCAAGGGAATGCGGGGAACACGGGAATGCGGGGAGCATGGGAATGCGGGATGCGGGGAGCAAGGAAATGCGGGGAGCATGGGAATGCGGAGAGCATGGGAAAGCGGGATGCGGGGAGCAAGGGAATGCGGGGAACATGGGAATTCGGGGAGGATGGGAAAGCGGGGTGCGGGGAGCAAGGGAATGCAAGGAACACGGGAATGCGGGGAGCATGGGAATGCGGGATGCGGGGAGCAAGGAAATGAGGGAAGCATGGGAATGCGGGATGTGGGGAGCAAGGAAATGCGGGGAGCAAGGGAATGCAGAGAGCATGGGAAAGCGGGATGCGGAGAGCAAGGGAATGCGGGGAACATGGGAATGCGGGGAGGATGGGAAAGCGGGGTGCGGGGAGCAAGGAATGCGGGGAACACGGGAATGCAGGGAGCATGGGAAAGCGGGGTGCGGGGAGCAAGGGAATGCGGGGAACATGGGAATGCGGGGAGGATGGGAAAGCGGGATGCGGGGAGCAAGGGAATGCAGGGAACATGGGAATGCGGGGAGCATGGGAAAGCGGGATGCGGGGAGCAAGGGAATGCGGGGAGCATGGGAAAGCGAGATGCGGGGAGCAAGGGAATGCGGGGAACATGGGAATGCCGGGAAAATGGGAATGAGGGAAGCATGGGAATGCGAGGAGCATTGGAATGCGGGGAGCAAGGTAATGCGAGGAGCATGGGAAAGCGGGATTCGGGGAGCAAGCGATGGCGGGACGCGGGTGAAAGCGGGTGGAAGGAAGCGAGGGACAGCGAGATGCTGCAGCACGTGAAGGTGAGATGCGGACGTGCTTTCGAAAGCGGGAAGCGGGGATTTGGGAAGCAAGGAAGCGCGAGGACAGGGATAGCACGATGTGGGAAGCCGCGGGTGGCATTTTCGTACGAGGAGATCGAAGGCGGCGGGAAGCTATAGCGGCCCGCAACGGTGGGCCGTTAGCAGCGGGGGATTCGTCAT